CATACCCTCTAAGCATCCTTGCACGCTATGTTGCTCCTGGGAGACACAGACCAGAGCACATGGCTGCAGCGAAGAGGGTATTGCGCTACCTGTGCAGGACGTCGGGCATGGGGCTAGTGCTTGGAGGGCGGAGTCCAGTGGTCCTTACAGGCCACGCGGACGCTTCTTTGGCTGACGACCAGGCTACGCAGCGGTCGTCACAGGGTTACACCTTCAGCCTTGGTTCCGGCTCTGTCTCGTGGCGGTCTACTCGCTCGTCTTCAGTTCTTGGCTCCAGTTGTGAGGCTGAGATCTACGCCGGGGCCATGGCTGCACAGGAGCTTCGCTGGCTCACCTACCTGCTGACTGACCTTGGAGAGCCGCCTCGTTCTCCTCCAGTGCTGTACGTAGACAACAAGGCCATGCTGGCCTTGTGTCGAGAGCAGCGCTTGGAGCACAGAACGAAGCACATTGCTCTCCGCTACTTCCTTGCTCGTGAGCTACAGCAGCGTGGACAGTTGCGGCTTGCGTACGTGGCCTCTGAGGCCAACACTGCTGATGTGTTCACCAAGGCACTCGCGCCTTGTGACCATCAGCGCTTTTGCACCCAGCTGGGTCTTGTGCCTGTTTTGCCTCACTTGCTCTCCTCTTGACTTTACTTGTACTGTGACATATATATATGTCTGTACTCTTGCATGTGAACTGGCCTCTGGCCCTACTCTTGTGCTCGGACTGTGTGGTGACGTTGTGATCCACCCTGAGCTTGCTTTGCTTTGCTTGACTGGTCTTGTGACCCCTTGTTCTCCCCCACTTTGCCTATGGGGGTGTGTCAAACATTATACATGTTATGCTTGTGTAGGCCACAGTGGGTTAGCCTATAGGGGGTACACAATTCTAGGGTTTACTACTTGTACTCATTTCACTTCTAGTTCATTCATTCCTGTTCGCTTATTCTCACAGAAGCGCCTCCTGAACTTCCACCCACACCAGCTCCCTCACCTCCTACCTCTCCTGCCATCGCACCATCTCCGTCTGAGGTCTCTGACCCAACCTCTCCGGTGTCCTCGGCAGCTGCTCCTCCATCTCCCCCCTCTACCACTCTGCCAACTGCGCCCTCACTACCAAGCGCACCAATCACATACCATCGGTGGTCGCACCCTCCAGCCCCACCTCCTCACTCCGTTCTTTCCCCCACTCAGGAACCTGCTCTCCCGCAACCGAGCGAACTGATCACGTACCAGCAACGGCCGCTCCCTCCCCCCAAGCCTCCTAAACCGTCCCCTCCAGTCACGCCTGCTCCACCCTCCTCTCCGGTGGCTCATGGCACTCGGTCGCATGGGGCTGCTCCTCCACTAACACTCGCCATTTGATGCTCAGTGATTAATCCGACTCCATCTGCTAAAGGGGTGTGCCCTTTACCCTTCTAGAAGACAGGCATTGGGAGCTGTGTGATCTCCACGCTGTCATTCCTCAGCTCTCGCACATCTTCTCCGATATCACTAAATCACCCTCGCTCAACTTCTCGGAGAACCCGACCATCCCTATCCCTCTCACCGTCCAAGAGGCTCTTTCGGGTCCCATGCTGCCGAATGGCGCGCTGCCATGGAAGCTGAGTGTGAAGCCTTCACTTGCAACCACTCCTTCGACGACGAAACTCCACCTCCAGGAGTTAACATCGTTGGGGGCAAGTGGCTGTTTCAAGTAAAGCAGCTTCCAGACGAGGCCCCAGTGTTCAAAGCGCGCTATGTGGCCAACGGATTCACTCAGCAGCAGTACGTTGACTTCTTCAAAACCTTCTCTCCCACTTCCGAACCACCTACAGTTCGCACGCTCTTGGATGTAGCCACACGAGAAGACTTTGAGATCAAATCCATGGACGCCTCTTTCGCATTCCTGCAAAGACACCTCAAGGAGACTATGTTTATGGACCGACTTGAAGACCAACACTGTCTGGAAGCTAAATCGCCCTGTTTATGGCCTCAAACAAGCCCCTCGTGAATGGCACAATAAAGTGAAAAAAACTTCCCTAATTGGACTTTCACCCATCATCTGCTGACCTGACTCTCTTCATTCGCCATCACTCTGAGCCATTCTACATCCTTGTCTACGTCGATGACTTCATCTTCGTTGCCAAGGACTCAGCTTAGATGACCTCTGTCCAGACGGCCATGAGCAAGGCCCTTCTGATGAAAGACCTCGGTGACCTCAAGCACTACCTGGGGATAGAGATCACTCGTGATCGTCAAGCTCGCACCATCTCACTCTCCCAGGAGTTCTACATGAACAATGTTCTCAAGCGCTTCGAGATGGAGCTGTGCACACCCATGGCCACCCCATTACCACTACAGCACCTCCTCACAGCTCCAGTTGTTCCCACACCGGAGGCCTGCTCCGAGCCATACCCAGAGCTTGTTGGGTCCCTCATATACGCCATGATGTGCACCCGGCCTGACCTGGCATACCCTGTCAGTGTCCTCTCTCGCTTTGTGGCTCCTGGACGCTTCACCGAACTTCACTGGAGTGCGGCTACGCGGGTGCTGCACTATCTGAAGGGCACCAAGTCTCATGTCCTCACACTTGGTGGTCTTTCTTCTCCTCGCCTAGAAGGCTTATCTGACTCCTCTTGGGCTGATGACCAGACCGACCGCCGCTCCTCCTAGGGCTATTGTTTCACCCTTGGCAGTAAAGCTGTTAGCTGGCGCTCCATGAGGTCATCTGCAGTCTCCCTCTCCTCCTGTGAGGCAGAGCTTTATGCTGGCACCATGGCGGCTCAAAAGGCCCGTTGGCTCACCTTCCTCCTCCAGGAGCTTGGCTACCCGCAGCCCACCCCCACCCTCTGGTGTGACAACAAGAGTACTATCCACCTTTCCTAGGATCTAGTGTACCACACTCGCACCAAGCACATCGAACTTCGCCACTTCTTCATTCGTGACCTTGTTCAGCGTGAACAGCTAAACATGGAGTACGTTGCATCTGACTGCAACCTGGCTGATCTGTTCACCAAGCCCCTTGGAAAGGTTCCTCACCATCGTCTCCTTGGCACCATGGGGCTATGTGCCCCACCTTCTCCTTCTTGAGTTCAATTGACGCCTATGGGGGGGTGTTAGTGTTAGCCCTCAATCTCTCATTTTGTACTTGCACTTTTATATCCTAGTGTAATGTACACTTAGTGTTTGGTTGGGTGTACACCCACATCCCAACCAAACCAAAATGTGATCTCCAAGCAATCTCCAACCCACCAATTGGAGATTTCCTTGGGATTACCCCCAATCCCCTAGAATTGCCCCCGATTCTCTCCCCATCCTTACCTTGCCCATTTCTGATGTACTTAAAGAGCCTTGAGCTCATTACTAATGTATGGATTTTAAGCTTAAGTTCTGACAGGGAAGGCATGCAAGGTGGTGTGGGATGGTCAGGCGTGGTGACATGATGGGTCCCCCAGTGAGCAAGTGAGTGGGAGAGTGAGATGCTGAGAGAGGGCATGGGCGAGTCAGTGACGAGTGGGTGAATGAATGCTTGAGGGGATGAGAGGGTGAGTGATCGAGTGAGTGGAGTGAATGGGTGAGTGAGTGAGCGAGTGGAGGCATCCCTATGGGCTAATGGCCTCGCCTTCCATCCCATCATATCCCATCCCATCCCATCCCATCCCATCCCATCCCATCCCATCCCATCCCATCCCATCTCATCCCATCCCATCCCATCCCATCCCATCACATCCCATCCCATCCCATCCCATCCCATCCCATCCCTTTCCATACCATCCCATCCCATCCCGTCCCTTTCCATACCATCCCATCCCATCCCATCCCATCCCTTTCCATACCATTCCATCCCATCCCATCTCTTTCCATACCATCCCATCCCATCCCATCCTTTTCCATTCCATGCCCTGTTATCCCAACCTCATGCCATTGCAGGGACCTTGAAGGCAACAGGCTGAGTGGCACCATTCCCGCCTCCATTGCCCACCTCACCGCGCTCAAGAGCCTGTGCGCCCATTCTTCCTCCACCCCCCCTCTCCATCACTTCTTTCCGCCTGCCTCTCTCTGCCAAGCATCGGGGGTTTGAGAGGGGGAGTAGGATGAGGAACGGAAGTGGAGGGAGAGGAGGGAGAAGAAGGCCATGAATGGGAGAGCGTGGAGGCACCAACTGCGGACGGCAATCCCGTCTGCTGGTGCGGGTGTGTGTTTCTCAAGGCACACACCTTTCAGCAACAGCACTGACTGACACTCATGAGCAAACGTGCGAGGCGAGTAAACCTCGCCTCGCTGGGTACATAACTTGCCCAAGTGCTATGGCCTGTCGAGTGAAAGTCGCCCCAGATTTTCTACACTCGATTCGGATCCGGCTCGAATCGGTACTCTCCTTTATAGGCTAGTTCTTTTCAAAACTCTGCCAAGTTGAAAACAAGAAAACTCGTAAATAGGCAAGTTTAACTCGCCTGTAATGTGACCACTGTTGCCCAGCCAGGGTGCATAGCAATCCATGACTTAAGAGTCATGCATGCCCGCACGAGTCTTGCGTGCCTCCTCACCTTCCCTCCATGTCCATTCACCCACGCACCTTCAGGAGACTCAGCAACAACCGCCTTGCAGGGACGATACCTGCTGTCTTCACCACGCTCACGAATCTCAATTTCCTGTCAGTCAGTGTTACCTCCTCTGCTATCACCACACTCAAGTGTCTGCTGAAGTGTTTACTCTGCTCAGCGGTGGTGTATTTAATTACTTCTTTTTAAACAACTTGTCAGTGTTACGTGCTCTGTCGTCCCTAAAGAATGTCTGCTGAGTCACCTCCGGTTGACGGTTTTCAAAAGCAACCACCTGCAATCACTGCGAGTAATCATCTCTGGATGGCTATTCTTTGCTATGAAACGCAACCCCTACTCCTCGCATCACCTCGCTTTCACCTCTCTTTCTGCTACCCACCCATCTCTTCCTTTTTGCTTGCTGAAGGCCACACCTTGAAGGGTCAGTCTTTTTGAAAGAATACCACTTACTCTCCACTTCCCATCCCATCCCATGCTCTCCTCTACCATAGAGGGGACACCACTTACTCTCCACTTCCCTCCCGAGCTTACCATTGTTCATGTCGACCCAAAAGACCTTTCTAAGTCAATTCATTGCTCATGTCTTGATGCCTTTCATCTACCTGATTCCATTCTGCCTACCCAAATCCGTTCTAACTAACCCATCCCATTCTGCCTACCCAATCCCATTCTGCCTACCCAATCCCATTCTGCCTACACTTGAGATGATAAGAGAAATCGAAGGCTAAGCACGTCAGCGCTGACAATACGAGAACTCAAAAGGCCCTCTCGGCCAGCATCGGCATGCCATCCCATTCAACACGCACACGGTGCTCCTGTCCCTTCACTGACTGACACTCCCTCTCCCCCCTTCCATCACTCCCTCTTTACCATCACCCACCACTCCTCTTCTTTCCCACCTCTTCCGTTCTCACCTCCCCTCTTCTCTTCCAGCCACCTTGAAGGCAACCAGCTGTCGGGAGAGCTGCCCTCCTTCCTTTACATGTTCTTTATCATGACGGCAGAAAACAATTACTTCACAGCCGCAGCAGAAGATTACCCTTTCAACGAGACCGACGACTCAGTCCCAGACATCTATCAAGACTACCACAGCGTGTGCCTGTTTCACCACAACTGCCTTGAAGACATGTCCTATTGGTGCAGCCCTGGGCCCAAGCAGAGCAGATCCGGGCGGAACCAGAGGTGTGCCAGCGAGTGCCGGGCGTTCTGTGGGGCGCAGCCGCTCACCCCGCCGTGCAGCGGCCATGGCGTGTGCTCCTTCGAGCCGGACCCCAATCACAACATGACTGCCTGTGATGATGATGATGAGGATAAGCTGCCGCCACACTACTGTGAACCCGAGGGCCACTGCGACTGTGATGAGGGGTACACGCCAGGGCCTGCTGCTGGCACGTGCGTCCCTCACGGTATGCCTGCTGGCGAATGCATGTCTAGTTGATAACTTCTTCCTTTACTCTTCCTTTTCAGCCATAAGCTCGGCCCATCTGCATCTTGTCTTCCGAAGTCTGCTTGCCAACATGCGTGCTTGCCAACATACCTGCTTTCTGCCATGCCTTCTTGCTGCCATGCCTACCTGCTGTCATGCCTGCTTGCTAGGTTCATGGTGCACAGCAGCACCTGCTGCTGCGCACATGCTGCTGCGCACCTGCTCAGTGGGCAGTGGAGTTGAGTGGAGTGAACCAAGCCGGACTTGGTTCCATCCACTCCACTCCACTCCACTCCACTCCACTCCACTCCACTCCACTCCAGTCCACTCCACTCCACTTTACTCCACTCCACTCCACTCCACTCCACTCCACTCCACTGCTCGCACTGCGTCAGCATGGTGTGTGCTCGTGCTGCTGTGCACCTGCTCTCACTTTACGTTCACCCATACCTCCTCCACCACAGCTCCCTTCGTTTAAGGATGATCAAGGCGCATTAATCACTAGCTCATGTGCTCGTGCCACATGCCTATTCACATCCGCTTTTCTGCGACATCCTTCTGCTGTGCTTCATGTGCCATGCACCTTGCAACTCATGCCACTCCTTTGTACCCATGCCCCCATGCTCCGCCTTCCACACCTCCCTGTGGCTCCCCACAGCCTCCCTCCTGACCACAGGTGGAGCTGAGGGAGCTGGAGGCACGGCTGCTGCAGCTGCAGGCGTTCCAGCACTGGGTGGCATCTTGACGCCTTTCCTCACACCCTCGCTTCCACCGGCCACTGCAGCCGTGGGGATGGCTTTGTCTGATGTTCTTGCGCCTCACGATCTGCTGATGCTGCACCTGATGCTTCCACTGGCAGTGCTGCTGCTGCTGCTGTTGCTGGCCTTCACACGGTTTCTGAGGCGCCTCAAGATTCGACCCCCCAAACGCTACTTTTTTTCAAAGAGAGCCCTTGCTGCTCGGCAATCTACTTTGGGTGTGGAGATCACTTGCTAGTGCCGGACTGCCAACAGTTCACTGCCGCGTAGGAACGGTTTGTATGTCTTCCAAGAGATCACTTGAGGCGAAGAGAATACCTGCCCTTCTTTAGACGACCTCCTATTTCCGAAATTTGATTGTTTAGATAGACTTTGATTTTCGGTGTAGAGAAATTTTGCATGCAGGGCACTTTGCTCTAATTTATCATCACCTAGACATATCCAACAACTGTCAGCACTACCAGTGCCTACCCATCTCTTCTCTTTGAAACGCCACCCATACAGGGTCGTCCCTAGGGTCTGAGGTATGTCTGATGCATCAGATGGGTCCCCTGGGCAAAAAAAAAAAAGTTTTGTCTGATGGTCACAGGCCCATCAGATTTATCCAAAAAAACATGGTTGGCCAGGCGAGAGTCACATTGGTTGGCTCGAGATGCACTCCCACTCTCACGCCCACTGCCCTCAGCAGCAGCAGCAACAGCAGAGGCAAGGCGATGTGCATGTATGCGCGGATGCGGCAGTGCCGAGCAGCGCGGTGCGCATGGCATCCCCGACTTGCCTGCCCCAGAGGGTGCTGTCTGCCCCAGTGCAGCGCAGAGGCAGTGCGGGCAGCACCGAGGGGGAGGGTGGGGATGGTGGAGACAGCAGGGAGGGATGGGTGGGTGGGGAGGGAGGGGAGGGAGAGGAAGGTGGGGGCGCGGTGAGGTGGCGGGCGCAGGGCAAGCGCGAGCGCAGCCGCAGGAAGGCACGCGGGCTGGCGATGGACGACATCATGCGGTGCACGCCCATCCTTGCTGCTCGCGGGCTGGTGCGGCGGGAGGGGTGCGGTGGGGCGGAGGAGATGAGTGGGCGCGATGGCGAGGAATTGAGGGCGCGGGATGGAGTGGGTGTGCGGGAGGGGTGGGTGACGGGGAAAGCAGGGCGCGAGGGCAACGAGGTGGGGGAGGGGAGGGCGGGCAAGAGGAGGGGGGAGGTGGACGAGTGGGAGGAGTGGCACTGGCGGCAGATGGCAGCTGGGATGCATGCAGGTATGCATGCAGGTGGAGAGGCAGGGATGCATGCAGCAATGCAAGACAGCGAGACAGCGCTGGGGGCGTTGGGAGTGGCAGGCGCCGCAGGAGGAGGAGAAGGAGGAGGAGGAGACGTCCCCGCTGTGGTGCGCAGTGGCTGTTCCAGTTAGGCGCATGCAGCTGGTGCGGTGGAGCACGAGCCCCTCATCACCTACTCACTCAAGCGAAACCGCAAAACCCTCAAGGAGCACCACTGCAGGTAGAGCATTCATCACATCACTCTCCGCATGTAGAAATCTTCTTGTGAATGGCAAGCATGTACCAGTGGCAAGCTACCACATACGAGCATGCACAGCACACAGCCTGATGCAGTCAAGGCTTGCATGATGTGTGCAATGGGGCTCCTTCTGAAAAACTGTACTGCCTGGAGGGCAAGCCGGGCATCTGAATGTGTGCATTGGGGCTGTTGTAAATAACCAGCACCGTGTCATCCCTGATATAGGCGCAGACCTATGATAAGCGCATGCGCTTCTATCCTGTTACAATCCCAAGTGGGACTTAGCGAAGGATCGCTCAGGGTTGATCGCAGAGTAGTGTTGCAGCGGAAGTTTGAATCTCAAGTTAGAGTGAATGTAAATGACTGAGTTGATAATAGCATGCATACATCGAGTTTATGTAAGAGTACAAGGGAATACGAAAAGACCTAGACTAGCCATGTACTCTAAGCGGTACATTCCCTTATTGCAGCTGAATTTAAACCGTGCGACGCGGGAGGGAACCAGGGCTGATTTTATCAGACTAAAATGGTCTGATTGTCTGAAATTACAGGCTATTTTTCACTGAATTCTGAATTTCTAGAGTTGGGGAATTTCCAATATTGAGCACCTCAGAGTTGTGGTTTTTGCAAGTCTGAGAATTTCAGAGTAATGGCTATGCCAATAATGGGCCTCCAGACTAAGAAGCGTACGGATCCTGAAATGCGGATGTGTACGTGCTAGGAAGTTTCCGCAATGTCACATGTTGCCGTGCCATCATGACAAACCCTTCGCTGTCACATGCGAAATCCGAACTTGGCAGCATTGCCGCCCCCTCTGTGGTCGGTGCCTCTTGTGCCTTAAACGTGGCTACTGTGACAGTGCTGCCACGCTGTGTCAGTGGGGGAACTGCACCGTGCCATCACTACGTGCTCTGCCCCGCAAGGTACAGCACTGCGAGGGTGACGGGCAAGGCGGCTCGATACCAACGGCAGCAGCCAACCACCCATCAATTAGGAGAAGGACCAGGGGGTCCTTCTTCTTCACAGCTCCCTTCACCGCGTTGAGTATGGTTTCTCGGCTGGCTCTCCCAGCAGTGTTCCAATTTGTGCTCGAGTGACTGTGTTCATGGCGGACCAAGAACGCGACCGCCCAATACCAAGGAGGTTGTGGGTAGGTTGGGGCTAGACTGCCTACGCCCCGCAGCAACGGCAGTAATACGCGAGTCTGTTCCTGCCACCACGCCTGCTGCACCTTCGCCAACGCCAATTGTCCTAGCTCCCGCCATAGCGTCGTCTAGTAGGGGCCCCATCCCAGTCACCGTTCACACTGCATCTACCGTTCGGTACAGCATCCCGTCCGTCACCATGTCAGTTCCAAAGAAGCATAGTACCCAGAAATGGGTCCAGAGCAAAATGGCTATTGGCGGTAGATTCCGCATACCCTCTCCCCCCCCTGCAGCGCCGGCTGTGGCAACGCCCAAGAAGCCACCTCCTCCCAAACTGTCTAAGAAAGAGGAGATTGAGCAGAAGTGGCTTTTGGTGGAGGCGAATTACCACTCGAAGTGGCTTCCGTATTTCCCGTGGCTTCTCCTAGTGCGTGCCAAAGATGGGCATCCCTCGCTCAAGTGCTGCATCTGCCGTGCCTTTGGCAAAGAAACCACCAAGTATTCAAGCCCTGGAGACGGTGCGCGCGACTTACAAACGCAAACGATGCGGATTCACGAGCACTCCAACGTCCACAAAGAGGGAGTGGAGCGGCAGTTGGAGATTGAAGAGTCGCTGGACGGCAAGCAGAAGAAAATCCAGGATTTTACAACGAGGGACGTGGAGGGGTGGAGGGTGGTACGCCTTCTGCGTGCAACTGAGTTCATCTGTAAGGTCGATGCTCCGATCTCTATGTTCGCTTGCTTGCTGCGTTTCATGTCTGAGCAGGACACGCCGGACATTCCCAGGCAGGCATACGGCGTGTATCTTACTCGGTGAGTGCCGGTTGTGCCTTAGAGTGAATCGTTCTGTTATACTGTTGCTCGTACTAACGCATTTGTCTTGATATGTTTCCGTGCAGGTACGGGTTCCAAGAGATGGTGCACAGCCTCTCATCACTGCTTCTCGCAACTCAGCTGCGACATATCTAGAGCTCTCCGTTCTTGGGCATCAGCTGCGACGAGAGCACGGATCGCACGAGTGGGAAACACCTCATCCTCTACTTGACGTTCCTTCGCTTCAACCGTCCCGTTACAGAGTTTTTTGCACACCTACCGGTTGAGAAGTCTGACGCGACGTCCCTGCTCTCGGTCATCATGAGTCACCTGCAGACAGTCGGAGTGGACATCAACCGCATCTGCGTTATCAGCACCGACGGCGCATCGGTGATGGTAGGGTGTGACAACGGCCTGGTCACCCGTCTACGAGAGTACATCCCACACCTGATCTCCTCACATTGTATCTCGCACAGGTTCGTTGGTTTCAGGTCATTGCTCGATTGCACCTTCACATGTACCGGTATGCTTTACTAACCGTTCCCTGTGTTGCGTTATGTGCAGGGAAGCATTAGCGGTAAAGGACGCGGCCCTTGCATGTCCCGACATGGCCATGATTGACAGAGTGATTCGGAGCGTGGCTTCTCTACTAACGAACTCCAGCAACGTCAGCCAGCGCTTTCACTACCTGCAGAGAACGATTCATAAAACTAACCTTGAAGTTCAAGGCATCCACGCGGTCAGGTGGCTGTCGCGTGGTGTGGCTGTTCGTCGTTTTTGGAAGGTCCTCGGCGCATCGATCGTGCTCTTGCATGAGAGCAAGCACAAGCTGTACGATGTGGTCACGTCGTACAAATTTCAATTCTGCCTTTTTTTTCTTGCCGATGTGCTTGGCGTCATGAACGAGCTCAACGTGAAGTTTCAGAAGCGTGAGGTAAGGATGACCGCCTTTGTTTCCCTGTGTTGCTAACATGTGTTACCCTGTGTTTCCTAAACCCGTCACTAACATGTGTTGCTCCCCTTCACATCCCATTCAGGTCGACGTGACCGAGATCGCCAAGGACATTGACGAGGCCACGGGGGACCTGCGCAGGCGCTACCTGGAGTGCGAAGGCTTGCTGGGAGCCGGAGAAAGCCCGGCACTCTCAGAGTTCCTGAAACTGCACGGGAGGAGTGCGTCGAAGAAGGTGAAGGTGCGCGGAGTTGACAGCGAAGGTGAAGCAATGACGCACAAGTACAAGCTACATGAGAGGAAGATTAAAGGGCACGAGTACGGCAGCACGTACAAGGACTGCGAGAAGCTGTGCACAAAATTTGCACAGGAGTGTGTGAACCGCCTGAACTTCCGCCTTGCAGATCTACGAAGGTTGGCACCAACAAAGCTGTTTCGCGCAGCAAAGTGGCCCAAGCCGCGGCAGCAACGCGACCGCAAGACCCGAGAGTACCTGCACGGATGCGCTGCGATCTTCAACAACAAACTCCCGGGCTTCGACCTGCAAGCAGCCGAGAAGGAGCTCGCCACGTGGGCTCCTATCATGGCGGCGCACCACGAGGATGAGGGGTTTTTTCAAGGGTTGAAGAACTTCATGGGTGTGGCGGAGTCCTCCAGGTATGTAGTACGATGCGTGTTGTGTAGCTGAGCATCTCTCGCAATTGTAACATTCTGCTATTAGCTATCTTTATGCTCGTGTGCCGGATTTTCAGGCGCTGGCCCAACATCATGCGGATGTGGCAAGCAACTGCCATGATGCCGATGTCAACCGTCAAATGCGAGCGTGGATTATCACGCCAGAACGTCATCAAGTCCTGGGTGAGAGGCTCTCTAGGCAACGCGCGCCTGGCGGAGCTGATGACGGTTTCCCTGCTTGACTACGAGATCGACTGGACCGAGGCCCTCGCTAAATGGCGTGAGAAGCCAAGGCGCCCGGCGAAGACTCCAGTTTTTGCTGCAGCAGAGAGGAAGCGCAAGAGGAAGGAGCTGGCGGACGACCAGGAATGGGAGAGAGTAGTGCGCGGGCTGGAGTGGGACCGTGATGAGTCAGATGAGGACGAAGAGGAGGAGGCCTATGATGAGGACCAGGCACTGCTGGACGACGACCCTTTCCGCGAGGAGGATGAGGAGGAGGAGGCCTGTGATGAGGTCCAGGGGCTGGACGACGACCCTTTCCACGACGAGGAGGATGAGGAGGAGGATGTGGAGGAGATAGCCATGGATCAGCATGAGAGTTAGTGTTTCTGGCGTGCGTGAGATTGGTTTGGTGGTGGCTAGGTATAAGTAGGTAGAAAGGAAAGAAAGAAGCGTGGCTGCGTGCTATTGATTTATTGGTAGGTAGGCAGGTATGTATGTAGGTAGGTAGGTAGGAAAGGAGGTAGGTATCTTAGGATGGATAAGTCTCAGACATAAAGGACAATCACCCAGACATTTAAACTTAGATTAATTTGACTCTGAAATAAGATTTTGGAAAATGATCACTTCAGACTGAAACTTGAACGAATCCTGTGAAATCAGACTCCCCCAGGCTGGGAAAAATGTGCCTCAGACTAGACGGAAAAATCTGGTACATGCACACAGAGTGGATTTTTTTGAAACGTCAGCCCTGGTCTGAATATCAGCCAAACAGACAAAAAAGTTTGCTAGCGACGACCCTGCACCCATACTGCTCGCATCGCCAATCTTTCTGCTGCCCACACGTCTCTTCCTTTCTCCTTGGTGGCGGCTACACCTTCAAGGGTGTCAACCTCATCAGCTTTTTTAAAGGGCTACCATCCACTCGCTTCCTCCCATTCTCCCTCCGCCGTGACACCACTTGCTCCCCTTTCCTCCTGTGTTTACCAACGGTCCTATCGAGCCATCTTTCTCATGCCTTGATACGTTAACATTTGTTTCACCTAACCGCTCTGTCCACACGTAAGAGAGGTATAAGGAATCAAATGATAAGCATGCCAGCTGATCCCACATAGCGCTCACATACAAAAATTGGATCCATGACTCAAATTCCTAACTCACACATCGTATCTAGTTCAGCACGCACATGCTACTCCTGTCCCATCATTCCCCTTTCCCTTCACTCCCACATCATTCGCTCTTCCTTTCGATGCTACCATACCGGCCAAGATGACCCTTCAGGCTACCACAACTTGTGTTGTGTCTGTTCCACCACAACTACCTTGAGAACAGCTTGTCAGAAGAATGGCACTAGGGTTCCCCGATTGATCCTAGGGGGGTTACAGGCATTTTAGCCTTGGAGTTTTGGGTGCACTGACCCGCATTTCGAACAAGCCTTTTTATCCCAGTGGTTTAGTGGCTGGGATTCTGACATGGTATCAGAGCGAACGGTCTCGGGTTCGATATCCCTATGTGTGCACATGTTGCCGAAGACGCTGTCAATGTCTTGGGCATCCAAGTGTGGGGGGTGTCTGAAGTTCGGCATTAGGGATCCCCGATTGATCCTATGAGGGTTATGGGCATGTTAGCCTGTGGGGGTTTGGGTGCACTGAACCGCATTCGAAACAAGCACTTTTATCCCTGTGGTCGAGCGGCTGGAATTCTAATACAACTCTATCATATGTGATAGTTTGCGACATCAGAGGCGTGACAACGAGTGCCCGTCGATCCCACACAGCGCTCACATACAGATTTTGGAATTTCACGACTCAAAAACCTATCTCACACAGCATAGTGTCGGAAAACCCCTCCTGCGTAACCTGCTTCTACTGCTGCTATTTTCTTCTCACCCTTGCATCTGTCTTGTCCCTGTCCCCTGGTTCCCTTCTTCATCCTCAGCCACTACCTCCCCCCTCCTGTGCTCGTGCTCAAGCTGCTCGGGCCCGAGACACAGGACTTCCCAGCTGAGGACGGCTGCTCTTCATCCCTGCCTTGTGGGTCTGGTTTTTGCCACTGTCAGCTCTCTCTTCTTCTCCAGCACCAGCACTCCCACACTTCGCCCCGCTTGCACCCGCCCCCTCACTTTTCTTCGCTCTACTTCTGTTGTCTCCTACTTTGTCTATCTCTACCCGCCCTACCCCAAGTGCTTCTTCTGTCCCTCTGCCACCTGGCTGCCGCCACTGTTCATTGCTGCACGCATCCCCCAACTGCACCACATGTAGGCCGGCATCACTTCCTTCGGGTATCCTGCTGCCTTGCCTCTCTCCCAGGCCGCTCAATTTTCAGCCTCTTCCATTCCCCTGGGTTTTGTCAGCATCTAGGATGCTAGCTGCATTGGCTCATCTGCCCATGTTCCTCCCTTCATCCACCTCACTGTCTTCACGGCCTCTTTTGCTTCCTGACTCATCGCATCTCCTATTCTATACTCTACTTCTTCCCCCGCACGCAGGCACTCCCATGCCCCCACTTCCTTGCTCTCGCTCTCTGCTTCCTCCTGCTCCTTGGCTGTGTCCCACACTGGACCTTCCCATCCTCCTACCCGTAGGCCTCCTGGCCCCTAGTCGCACGCCATCTCTACTTTTAAGCTCCTCGCACGCGTCTCAGCTCTCTCCCTTCTTCTTTTGCCATTTTCTCTCACAGTAGCTCTGGACGTTCTCCCCGCAGCTTCCTCACATGATGCTCCGCCCGCATACTTCCCCGCACTTGCTTCTCTGCCTTCATTAGCATGACCGTGCCCCCGCCTTCTCGTCCTTTTCTTCTGCTTCCGCTGCCGCTGTTACACACGCTCTTGCCCCCACTTGCTCGTCCTTCTCTGCTTCCGCTGCTGCTGGTACACACGCCCCTGCCCCCACCTGCTCGTCCTTCTCCTCTGCTTCCGCTGCTGCTGGTACACACGCCCATGCCCCCACCTTCTCGTCCTTCTCCTCTGCTTCCGCTGCTGCTGGTAGACACGCCCATGCCTCCCCCTTCTCGTTCTTCCCGTTCGTTTCTGGTGTTACTTGCACACAGACCCATGCCCCCACCTTACTCACTTGCTTCCTTCGTCCGTCCCGGCCTCCACTGCGCCACCCCATGTTTTCATGGTGACGAAGAACCGCACAGGAGTACTCTGGCTCCTGCTCCTCTTCCTCCTTTTCCTCTTCCCTCGCGTACACTTCTGCTTCTTTCTCTGTCTTGCCTCCCAAAGCCTGCAGCTGAGCCCGCAGCCTTCTTATCTCTGTTTCTATCTCCTCTTGTGACCTCCTTGCTCCCCCCGTCCTCTGATAGCAGTCCTTCTGTTGATGCCCCCTCTTCCCACACACTTCACAGGTTGGCGCATCAGGGAAGTTCTGACGGCGGTGCCCAAATTTCCCACACACGTCGCAGTTCTTGCAATTCAACTTCACATGTCCCGGCTCTCCACACCTGTAGCAGGTCCTCGTGTCTGTCCTTCTCTCATGTTGCTGCTCCTCTCCGCCTCCCGCCCCTGGCATCATTGCTGCCGCCCAGGTGGGTCGCATCTTCTCAGCTGCCCTTGGCAGGTATGCCTCATAACGCCTTTGTGCCAGCTCCACCTTTTCTGTTAGCTCAAACACTTCCTCCAGGCTTGCTTCTGCCCCGTCCTCTGGCCAGCCCGTCGTCCAATCCTGCTAGGAACTTGCTGATCAGCATGCTGCTGCCGGTACACACCACATCTTCGGCCAGGTTCATGAGCCGCCTATAATATGTCAGCAGCGTCTCGTCCTTCCTGCGTTTGAAGTCCTGAAACTCCCTGATTCGCTCTACCGTGTGTCCTGGGAATTGCTTGCGCAGCCGCTCTCGGAACAGTGACGTAGGGTCGTCCCCATCCTTCTCTGCCCTCCTCAACCACTCTTGCATCTTCATGTGATACAATGTTCTGCTTCCCCTCCCAAAGTGTTCGGCAGACTCAAAAAGAAGTCGAAGGGGTCCATCCCACTCCGATCACACCTGTGCTTGACATTCCCAATCTGCATCAGATAATTCTTCAGGTTAGTGCTCGTCCCTTCATTCCCCGTGAAGTGCACTGGCACCTCTACTTGTGGTGGCGCCTGCGTGCCCCATTTCCCTGAGTCCCAGGTTCCCATTGCTCCTCGCTCCGCGCGGTTAACTTCTCCTCTGTGGTCCCTCATTCCCCTGATGCCTGTGCTTGTCCCATACAGCACCCTGTCTATCCCTTCTCTAGCAGCTCTAGCTTCGCTAGATCCTTCTCCTGTCTGCCGTGGCCTCCTGGGGCCCCTCGGACTCGGAATCCTTCTCCGCTCCTCCTCGTGAGCCTCGCTTCGTCCACCTGCTCCCCCCCATCGTCTTTCCCTACTCTCAGGCGAATATTCATGGAATCGCCCTTCTCGCTTCCTCCTTTCCTGCTGCTGCCGGTCCTCTCTCTCACGAAACTCTCTCCGTTCTTCCTGCCTGCTCCTCAGCCCTTCTCTCCTTCCAGGGAAATATTCTTCCCAGCTTTCCTCCTTTTGTCTCGATCCATGGCGTGCCCGCCAATCACTCTCTTCCTCTTCCCCGCTCTCTGTGTCATACTCGTGCATTCCCTCCCGTCGCATGTGCTGCTTGTCACCTCTCTTCCTCTGTCCGCTCAGGTCCTGCTTCTCCCTCACCCCCGCTCAAGGTTTCCTTCACCCTTCTCGCCTTCCCCTGTACCCCTCTCTTCCTTCAGGGCATGACTTCTTCTCCCAACACTCCGGCTTCCCGCGTCGGCACCGTTCCAGATCATACCCAAAGTCCTCTTCTTCACTATACTCATGTTCCTTCTCTTCACGCAGCTCCTGATCACTCCTTCTCGTCATCTCCCTCCTCTCCTTCCTCTCAAAGGACTCTCCTTCACAGCGTCTCCCTCGTCTGCCCATGATCCTCTCTTCCTCTTCCTTTGTCACTTTCCGGGTCCTTCCCTGGGGAAACCTCTCGCCGGCAGTGCTCTTCCTCACCCCTTCTCCTGTTTATCTCTCTCTCTTGCCTCCTCCTTGCCTCTCCGACAGGTTCCTGCACCAACCCCGCTCCCGCGCATGGGTAATCTTCTATTCCTTCCCGGCGCGCTCTCGCATCCGCACCCGTGATGTACTGCGACGAACACTCACTGCCGTTAACACGAGCTTCCCTCTCCTCCGTCCGCTGTCGTGCAGGCGAGCGCTGCACGCGCCTCCTTTCGCAGGCGTCCTCATTTCCTTCTCCCCCCTACTCTGGTGATCGCCATCTGCCCAACGCCATGCGCCTCCTGCGCTCATGTCCGCATCTCGGCTCAGGCGAGCCATACACTCCCGCCTGCACGTCTCGCCTCCTCTCTTCGTCATGGTTGGCTCCTGGCGCGTGCTCAGTCTCCTTGCCTTCACCGCGCCCCG